TGACATTAAAACTCAAGGAATTAAACTAACCGTGTATAACACAGCCAAAATGACAGAGATATCTCGCTGTTTTCAAATGGGCTTCACATATTGCAAATGAGCTATCAGCGTAGATTAAACATACTCATAAAAATGTCCAGAAATACAGAACAGAGAAATGTAAATGTTTAGTATTCAATACTTCACGTGCTAGGGATAATAACTGATTTCATATACTCAAGAGCGCCACCTTATTTTTTAAACTAATTAAAACTGCCCATAACGACATTTATTTAGATGTTTACTTTCAAGTTCTTTATTGTTTACACTATTTTATAAAGAAGTAGAAGTAAGAAAATATGGATTATTGCAAGTTATTCTACACAATCAAGTAGCTGCATTTTCTTCTAGCCTAATATTGTACATAGATGACGCACTATCTCTGTAGGTATATGGACGTGATCTGATACGGAAACACAATTAGTATAGTGAAACGTGTCAACATCTGCAACAAATACACGATGCCAAACACGTATTTTGACTTGAGCAAGGTATCTGCTATTGAGGCACAAGTGCATATTGATGGGAAATTATTGCCAAAACACTCCAATCATATATATCATAAGCTATATAACTGGTAACTTTCAAACTACGCCAGATACCGAGATCAACTTGGCCATCAATATATATATTCCAGCGAGTACCGAACCAATTGGGCAGTGTAAGCCTAAATATAGTTGTTGTTTTTTGTAAACGTGTTTCGTAAAACAAGCACGTGGTTCACATGCGTCGACTTATTTATGATAAAGACCTAACAGACACAGAAGGATTGACGGATTAATGATGAGCAGAAATATAGGTAAATTAACAGATATAGATACTATAAAAATTCAGCTAACATTCAAATCGTGTAAAACCCATAATAATTCTCCTTGTATGCATATTCTCCAACAAATTAAACGAAAACAGAAATTCGCTTTTTTTTCTTCTATATAAAGTAAATTTAGTATTTAACTGGACATGAGCATACAAGTGAAAAAATACATTAATTACAGGCATAAAAGCAATAATCCGTAATGAGTCAATTAAAAGTTACCTGTTTTCACATTGATACTACAATTTTTCTATCGTTTTGTTACTTACTTTCAAGAACAACATTAGATACACACGCTCACAAACACACACAGACATATATTGTATAAAAATCAAGAGATTTACTTCTTACCATAAAAATAATTACCTATTTCACTATGCTACGTAAGACGTAATAAACTACGATCCTTACACAACCTTTCACTTAACACGCCATGTTGAAATATGACGTCATGAAAATGCTACCTATCAAACTGGGATAAGAACTGAAGAATGAATGCAATTTATTAAACTACAGGTGTTTCTTAGAAGAAGAAAAAAACGAGTTTACGTCAATTAATAAAGACTGTGAAGTTAAAGCGTATTGATAATCGTTTCAAACTCCAATACGTATGTTTTAAAATTAATGTACCTTCTAATAAAGTTTTTACAATATAAGTATATGAAAATTGTAAAATAAATATATCTAAAAAACTGTGTCAGCGAATACATTAAATATCCTGCAGAATACATACTAATCTTAAAAGCTCTATTGAAAAATATATGCTTTTAAAATACAGAATAGCGAAAAACGTAATTAAAAATATTTTTTACAAAAATGATTTTACTACCTTCAGGAACTGTCCTATTGGATCTAAAAAGAAGATGAGAACATCGCCTTGACCAATCAAAGCTTTCTTTATCTCGTAAGTTCGAGTGTGTGTGTGTGTGTGTGTGTAAGGGGGGGATATTGGGGCTAAAGAATCATAATTATTCTGGCGAAAATGTATATACAGTTTATATACACCTGGAAAAAAGTTAAGCACCCCCGTGTTTTTTTCAAGTGATTCAGATTCGACGTTCTTGTGACTGATTATAAATTACCATTCAATCTAAACGTGTTTATCAAATGAAATTATGCATTATTGGGCACAAGAAAACAAGATTATCACC